TTTCCATTATGTCTATTTAACTCATTAACTATTTTTTAATTTGAGTGACATTTTAATTAGGGTTGCTATTGCTGTAATGAGACACTATGACCAAAAGAAATTTGGGGAGGAAAGGGTTTATTTGGCTTAAATATCCTGAATCACAAGCCAGGTGCTGGTGTCACATGCCTTTAATCCCAGCACTTGGGAGGCAGAAGCAGGCAGATCTCTGTGAGTTCGAGGCCAGCCTGGTCTCCAGAGCGAGTGCCAGGATAGGCTCCAAAGCTACACAGAGAAACCCTGTCTCGAAAAACATGCTGTTTCTCATGTCTTGTTCAACCTGCTTTCTTATAGAACCCAGGACCACTGGCCCAGCATGCTGCCACCCACAATGGGCTGGGCCCTCCCTTATCAATTACTAATTAAGAAAATTCCCTACAGCCTTATCTTACAGAGGCATTTTCTCAATTGAGGTTCCCTCCTCTGAAATGACTACAGTTTGTGTCAAGTTGACATAAAGCTAGCCAGCACAGATGACTTTGGGTTTTGATATTTAATTCTTTTTTTTGTTTATTTCTGGAATAAATTTCTTTTTTAATTTAAATTAGAAAAGGCTTGTTTTACATGTTAATCCCAGTTTCCTCTCCCTCCCCTCCTTCCCTGATGCCCCCACTAAGCCCTATCCCTTCCCCTTTCTGCTCCCCAAGGAGGGTAGGCCTTCCATGGGGGAATCTTCAAAGTCTGTCATATCATTTGGAGCAGGGCCTAGGCCCTCCCCAGTGTGTCTAGGCTGAGAGAGTATCCCTCTATGTGGAATGGGCTCCCAAAGTTCATTCTTTTGCTTGGGATAAATACTGATCCACTATCAGATGCCCCATAGATTGCCAAGGCCTCCTCACTGACAACCTCATTCAGGGGGTCTGGATCAGTCCTATGCTGGTTTCCCAGCTATCAGTCTGGGGTCCATGAGCTCCCCCTTGTTCAGGTCAGCTGTTTCTGTGGGTTTCCCCAGACTGGTCTTGACCCCTTTGCTCATTACTCCTCCCTCTCTGCAACTGGATTCCAGGAGTTTAGTTCAGTGTTTAGCTGTGGGTGTCTGCTTCTGCTTCCATCAGCTACTACATGAAGACACTAGGATGGCATATAAGGTAGTCATCAATCTCATTATCTGGGAAGGGCATTTAATGTAACCTCTCCACTTCTGCTTAGATTGTTAGTTGGTGTCATCCTTGTAGATCTCTGGACATTTCCCTAGTGCCAGAATTCTCTTTAAACCTGTAATGGTTCCTCTATTATCCTCTATTATGGTATCTCTTATCTTGCTCTCCTCTAGTTTTTCCCCAACTAAACTTTCCTGCTCTCTTATGTCCTCCTCTCCCCTCTTCTCCCCTTCTCTTTTTCCTAGCTCCCTCTCCTCTCCCCCCTATGTTCCCAATTTGCTCAGGAGATCTTGTCCCTTTCTCCTTCTCCGGGAGACCATGTATGTCTCTCTTAGAGTCCTCCTTGTTTCCTAGCTTCTCTGGCAGTGTGGAATGGAGAGCAAACGATACTTAATTCTTAATGGTTCTTTATATATTCTAGACTATAATTCCCTGCGGAATTAATTATTGGCGAAGACTTTTCCCTCCATTCTGTAGTTCACTTTGCTGACTGTATCACTTTCTATGAAAACCCTGTTTGTCACTTTTGGGCTTTTATCTCTTGGACTCCTTTTCAGAAAGTCCTTGCATATGCCTTTTTTTCTAGTGTTTTTTTTTCTTTAGCCAATATTTTATTACAGTATTTCAGGTTTTACATTAAAATATTTGACCCATATTTATTTATGGTGCGTGATGATATGGACCTAGTTTCACTCTTTTAAACAATGGCTTTATTTGTTTTTTAATTATATATATATATATATGAGTGTTTTGCTCATATGTATGTTTGTGCACCATGTGCATGCCCAGTGTCTGTTGTGGTCAGAAAGAGATAAACGATGCCCTGGAGCTGGAGTTATGGATGGTTGTGAGTCACTAAGTGGGTACAGGGAATCAAACCTGGGTCCCCTGTAAGAGCAAGAAGTGATCTTAACCACTGAGCCAGTTCTTAACTCCCTCTCCCTGCAGTTTGATGCTTGTATATGTGACTATCCAATTTTCAAACGCCATTTGTTGAAGAGGCTGTATTTTCTAACATGTTTCTGATGCCTTTGCCACGTATTAGGTGGTTGTAGCTATGTGGGCTCCTTTCTGGGTCTCTTGTTCTAACACATTGTTCTATGTGTCTGGTTTTCTGTTAGTATCATGTTGCTTTAGTTCCTATGGCAAACCTAATTATATAAATCAGTGAGAGGTAATACAAAATAAATACTAAGTTTAAAAAGTAAAATAAGTAAAAATATTAGTAAAAGTAAAGTATAATGAAAAAAGGGATGGAGCACAAGGAGCCAAAAAATAGGAAACAAGTATTAGAATGAATTTATTTTTGGATCTTGGAGGCTGCCAGATGTTCGGGTATTCAAGTTCTAGGTTTTTGTATTTCTGTGATTTACGCTGCAGTTGTATCTGTATCCAAACATCCAACGTCTTCCTGAGCTATCTTCATTGTAGTAGCTCCTCCCTACTCTCTTTTTTTTTCATTCCAGTTGCCTCAGCAGACCACACTTTGCTTTCTAGTCTGTAGGCAGAGTAGACTCACCAAAATTCTGGGGACTTCTCAGTTCGAATCCCCTGAGATGGCTGGTATTCTGAGGTGTCTCCAAAATATGTTGGGAGTGTGAGTGACAACTACAACACTGAGATATGAACAGATGAATCTGTTCTTTGCTTTCAAAACATAGTCAACATTCATCATTGCCCTGTGGGTATCTAGGATACAGAAGCTTCAGAGGTCTCAGACTCTATAACTGCAAACAATGGCCAAGTAGGTGGTTCTACTTGCTGATCCTAGAATCAGGGCTATTAAACTCCAAGTTATTCTCAGCTGAAGAGGCCTGACACTAAGTGTAGACCTAGTTTCTCTGTATACTCCACTGCCTGGGCTGAGCCTCTTCTTGCCTGCACTTTTCTGGTTTTTAACATCTGGCCTCCTGCCCTCTCACATATGCCTCCTAGAACTAACTTCTCTTTGAGACTGTGGCAGGTTGAAGTCAACACTTTCTGATTGCTGATCAGTCCCTGTTCTTGGTTCCAAGAGCAGCTTAGTTTTCAACGATAGATTCCTCTCAAGATGGTGCCCCACCATAGTCCTTCCAGCTATTTCCTTTTCTCTGCTTTCTATCACAAAAGAAGCATCCTCAATAGTGTCTAGAACTGTATTTGTGGCTTTTCAAACCTATGAGCTTACCCTATGAGTAGGACTGTCATTCTCTTTTCCCCCGGGCTTGTGTTTTAGATGCAGCTTTTGTCTCCTTTTTCCCTCCAGTGAATCATGTGGCTGGAGCTGCATTCAGCTTTCGTGTCTTCTTTTGGATGCTATACCCAACAGAATCATCTCTGCACTTTTCAGCTTTTTGCTCACTCCTTTTGCCAATTTCCAACAGATTTTCCTCTTTCTCTCTTTGGAATAGGGTAGATTTTTTTCTTATCCTGACATTCTCTTTCACTGGATCACATGGAGACAGCCTCTGGTCCACCATCTTCATTGGATGCTCTCTACAGTGTGTCCTACTGGTCACTAAGGATGTCACCTGTTGAGTTGTTTATTTCTGCCATTTTGTTTTTACTAGATGTAGTTTGAAACTCTTTTTTTCTTTTTAATTTTTTGTTTTTTTTGAGACAGGGTTTCTCTGTATTGTTTTGGAGGCTGTCCTGGAACTCGCTCTGTAGACCAGGCTGGCCTCGAACTCACAGAGATCTGCCTGCCTTTGCCTCTTGAGTGCTGGGATTAAAGGCATGCATTACCAATGCCCGGCTTAAAGTTCTTTTAAAGGTTTCTTTTAGTTTACAAATTCCATCTGTTTTTCACTTTTAACTTATGTTTATTTATTAAAGAAACTGCATTATTTGTCCCATCAAGCTTCTCAGGGTCTTCATTAAACTGACTGTACCCATATTGGGTCATTCAATATATTTCCCAAGTCCTCAGTGTTTCTTATAAATAGTATATTGAGAGTTCGTAATTTTCCAAATGCAGGTCAAATTTTGGAACTGTCTTCTAGGCAATAATAAAGATTTGAGGGCCTTTTCTTTTTTAGTTGTTAGACCTTATTACACATTATATTCTAATTTTTTAATTCCCTTTTCATTGATTATATAGAACACACCTAAAGAGGAAGTTTCTTTGTTTGACTATTTAGTTACTCTGAAAAGTCATTTGTATAGGAATGGCAGGATAGCTGGTTCCCCCTTTACCTACTAGTTTTGAAAGTAATAAATTGCATATTAAGTATATTGCTCAGTTCTTAATTTTTAATTTCATGAGGTCCTTAGCTTCAACCTCTCCAATTGTGTAGAATATATGATGGTTTCAATGTTAAATCTATAAATAAAAATGTATTTGAAGAAGTCCAACATAGCTCCATCCCTTCTGTCCTTTTTATCTTTTATATACAGCAGGTAACCCTTTTCTGTTGGCTTTTATTTATCTTTCCATTAAAAATATATTCTTCCACTTCTTAGAAAACTGGTAGCAAATAATAGACTTTCCTACCTCAAGTCTTATCTTAAAAACACACATTTCAGGGTCTGATGAAATAGTATATTTATATGAACCAGTGGGAAGGAATGGGAAACTCCCCTTGATCCCATTTGGTCTGATGAACTACTACACAGAATCAAACAGTTTCTTAGCTTAACTACCATATAAATCCCTTTCTATGTATTTCATTTAACAAGTGTTGGGTCTATGTACAGTGTCTATTAATATAAACAAGCAGCATGTCTGTTGAACTTAACAAATACAGTTTCCTACTCCATTTGTCTTTGGGACATCGATGATTCAAGTTTTAAGCAAGTGGGTATGAAATTAGATCTTGAGAGGAGATGTTGTTACTGCCAATTTCACAGTCGAACATGTGTTCTCTCTTTTTTTTTTTACAGTTACAGGATTTGATCTGTGGGGCGCAGTAGTGGCAACTGGGGTGGTCTGTACATTCTACTGCACACTGGTATGTAAAGAGTGTCATTTCCCTTTTACTCTACTTGCTTTGCAAAACTGGAATTTCAAGTAGTCATGTGCTGTAGACTGTTCATACTTAACTCTTTTTCTCTGGGCTTCTCACAGTACAACATTTTTGTAAGGAATATTTGGTCCTTAGATATGGATTACAAATGAAAATTTTTTCTTTCATCTGAACCATGGCACAGGTCTCTATTTTTGTCTCTTGATTCCTTCTTATGGTTTTCAAAGTATTATAGATGTGCTTATATAATAACTCATCATAGAGACTTGTAATAATGGTCTAATAACTATAGACACAGGTGGCAAAATATATGTAAAAACCATCAAGGCTTGATGTTGCTTTACTGTGGAGGCAGGTTCTTTGCAGCAATGCAAATTTATGTGATCTTTAATAGTCTCTATATTAACCTTTATTTTGCTTGATCTTCTAGGAAGTAAGATCCTTACATAGAGCCTGTTTAAACCCAGGCCATAGAGGCTGAAGAGAAATATTTGTGGCAGTGGCTAGTATACAACAATTTTAGTGTCTTAATAAATGATATGGGTATCTGGGTATAAACTGAGTGTTAGCCCACACAGTGACTTTTATAATTTAATTCTGAATTGTCTATCCAACACTCTCCTCATCTTACTTATCTCCTGGCTACATTCAGTAGACTATGTACAGTTTTCTCCGCTTCTACTTTTTTCCCAGGCCATTTTCTGGCCTTGAGGGGGGGGGACCTTCCATCTTTGCCTCTGCCTATGCTTGAGGGACAGGTTAAATATCTTCTTCTCTATAAATATTCTTTGAACACGACCCTCTCTTTTGCGTGACCTTCTTGACCAAACTCTGTGTTTCATCATTTTTTTTTTCTACTATGGTACATTCACATTTAGACAGACACATAATCGCATCTCATAGAAGTATTAATCCTAACACGCTTTCTTCTCAAAGGGTGGTCTTAAAGCAGTTGTCTGGACAGATGTTTTTCAAGTTGGGATCATGGTGGCTGGATTTGCATCTGTGATTATACAGGCCTCAATAACTCAAGGTGGCTTCAATAAGATTTTAAGTGATGCCTCCAGTGGTGGAAGATTAAACTTCTGGAAGTAAGTTGCTGTTTACCTTCTGGTAAATAGAATGCAGCTTTTGTTTTCTTTGTAAGAAATAGTTTTGTTGGCATAGTAAGTTTGTATTATAATTTATAATTTATTATAATGTATAATAAATTATAAGGGTGTGGTCTGTAAAATTAAAGTTGGCAAGTCAATGTTGGGGGAGTTTTTGCTGGTTTTTGAGGGATTAAAACAAACTGAAGCCTTGGGGTCATATGTTTCCTTTTCCAAAGAGGGATATTAGAGCAAAAACGTATTTTCTTCCAGAGCCTAGAGTCCGAAACAGTTTGAAAGTAGGGTAGGAAAAAATGGTGAAAGGTAAGCAAAGGAAGAACCTAAGAGACACATACTGAAAGACAGTAACTTCATAAGGATAATGCTTTATTTTAACCAACACTGAGAAATTCTCTTGATATCACTCTGGTAGCATGTAGCATATTAAAATGGCATATTGTTGAACAGTATTTCATGTATGAATCTCTGTATTATTTCCTAAAAACTGGCCAGAGCCAGGTAGTGGTGGTACTTGGCCTTTAATCCCAGCACTCTGGAGGCAAAGGCAGGTGGATCTCTGTGAGTTCAAGGTAGCCTGGTCTACAGAGTGAGTTCCAGGACAGTCAGGGCTACACAGAGGAATCCTGTTTTGAAAAATCAAAATAAATAAATAAGTAAATAAATTTTAAAATTAAAGAATAAACAAAACTGACCAGAAAAGTTATGGCTGGTGTTTCAAATGACAGCCTGACATAGGATAAACATGTCTGAACAATGGAAAACCCAGATAGTCCATCCCAAGCATATCAGACAATCTAAAAGAATTATGAAAACACGTTTCTATATATTCACCTTGCTGCACCATGTTCAATGTGGAAAGAGGTGCATTTTGACATGGACCATAGTCTCCTCTCTTTAAATAGTCGTAAATTGAGGTTGGAAAACTGCAATCACTAGTGGGGAAAAAAAAACATGATTTTTTTAAAAGATGGCTCGTTTGTGTCTTTTAAAAATAGTACTCTTCTTTTGAAAAAGGCATTTTCAGAAACTAAACAGCACCACCCTGCTTACTTAGAGGAATCTGTGCCAGGAAATCATGTTTAACTGTTTTCATTCAATACTTGTTTCTCCCTTTACGTCAAGATTCAGATCTGAATCTTTTTTTTTTAAATTTATTTATTTATTTCCATTTTTGAATTTGAATTAGAAACAAGATTGTTTGACATGCCAATCCCAGTTCCCCCTCCCTCCCCTCCTCCCCTACCACTCCCCCAACTAAAACCCTACCTAACACATAACCTTTCTGCTCCCTAGGGAGGGTGAGACCTTCCATAGGGGTTCTTTAGGGTCTGTCATATCATTTGGGATAGGGCCTAGGCCCACTCCCTTGTGTGTTGGCTCAGGGAGTATCCCTCTATGTAGGATGGGCTCCCAAAGTCCACATCTATGCTAGGGATAAGTACTGCAGATCTGAATCTTGAGAGCTTCCAATTGGACTACCTTTGGTTCTTTCCATGGTGAGGGCAGAGCAAGAAGATACTTTTAATTGATATTTACTCAGATTAGTCAATGAAGAAAGCACATTGATTTTACCAGGAGAGTGGAAATATATCACAGGAATTGGAAATGAACAATGGTTGTATAGAAAATATTGATTATGTTCAGTCTCTTCCAGAATGCCCAGGCTGAGGGGATAAAATACAAAGTACAAAGCCAATCATTTTTCTTCAGGATAACTGTCACTGTATGCAGAGGACATATATTAATAAGAGATCCTTTAAAATAAAAATTAGATACTTAAATAACCCTATCTTTGAAGACTGCTAACCACTAAATGATAGTGAAAAGGCCCATTGTGTTTTAGATTTTTCAAGAATGTTCCCTATTATCCTGAAATGTGTTGTGATATAATTAGCAAAATATCTTTTCTGACTGAGAAAAATGAAAAAAAGAACTACAATCTCTAAATTGTGTTTTTCTATTCAGATAGCCCACTGAATGTTTTTGACCCTTTTTTTGGTTAATGTAGTAGGTAACTCTCCACAGGAGAAAGGGTCCATGCTATGGGATAAAGCAGTGGTTTTCAACCTTCTTAATGCTGTGACCCTTTAACACAGTTCCTCATGTTGTGGTTACCCCCAACCATAAAATTATTTTGTTGCTCCAGTTATGAATCGTAATGTAAGTATCTGATATGCAGGGTATCTGATATGTGACCCACATGTTGAGAACCACTGTGAGAGAGGCTCTCAGTTTTCTAATTTCCAGAAAGTGCTCATGAAAGCTTACTTTGTGGGACGTTTTCAAGTGTGTATTTACGTGGAGATGAGCAGACTCCTCCCTTCCAAGGTGACATACTGAAGAGTTAAGAGGTTCTTCAAATGGAACTGGCTCTTTCCCTAATATGGGCTTATGTGCTTACCATAAAGTGGTTTTAAACCTTTAGTATTTGCACACAGAATTCTAAGACAGCATAGTTATAATGACATGATAATTTTACCAATATATACATTTAGAGTGCATTGTCCTCTTAAGCTGAATTATGATTTGACATGTGCTAGATGAGGAATGATGACCACACAGTGTGTTAGATTGTATTTACTGGGGTATGATATCTATTTACATGGTACACTTTGAGTCCTCTCCTGCCAGTATAACATGGCCAATTCATTTTACAGTAGTTTCCAAACACTATGGGAGAACAATTTATCTAAATGCTCAAAGTGTTAAGAATGTGTATTTTCTTCTAATTCCATCTAGAATATCCTAATATCTGAAATATCATTGTTTACTTAATTGCATTTAAAGTAGAAATATTTGTATTTTGACATAAATTTGGACATTTTTATGTAAGTGTATATGCTTGCATTTAAAAGTCTTCTAGGAGGGTTGTCTTTGGTCTCTTGCAAACAATTTGTATTTGCTTTCCTCTCCTTTTCATTCAGTTTTAATCCTAACCCTTTGCAAAGACACACATTCTGGACAATTATCATTGGAGGGACTTTCACATGGACCACCATCTACGGTATCAACCAGTCTCAAGTACAGAGATACATTTCCTGTAAAAACAGATTCCATGCAAAACTGTAAGCCTAACTATGGTGTATGAATCATTAATAACTACCATTGCTCTTAAGGGAATGCTTCTATAGTCAACTTTAGTTCAATTTCAAGTTTTTTTTGTCTTAAAATGCCCCAAATAAATGATGAACTAAAGGACCAAATTTGGCTGTGTGTGGTTCTATAGTTGAGCCAAAGTGGTACTAGATGTTCTCAATCAAGCATTTGAAAATATTTTTATGAATTATTAAGGAAGATGCCCTCATCAAGTAAATAAATGTCTCAAGAACCTATGGAAGTTAAAAAAATATAAAGGAGAGCTCAATGAAAGAATGATTAATTACCTAGCTTGCTAGATCCCCACAAAACAACTTTGTATATGAGGAAATTTAAGATCAAATTGGAAAAGTATATGCAATCTGGAAACTGTGAAATGACAATGGGCAGGAATGTAAGTTCCTCAAAACAATATAAGAGCGATTATTCCCGAGTGGGTGTAGTTGCATGCATCATATTATTAGCCTTAATCATGGGTTATAATGCCCTCTAATTTACTACTTGGATGGCATTGTACAAATTACTTAGTTTCACTGAGCTTCAGATCTACACTTGTAAATGAGTACAAGAAACCCTGTGACCACATGTGAAGTTGGGGACACACATGTTGGGCACACGCATGTAAATATTCATTCTGCTATAACTAATGGGTTGTGAAGAGAGAACTAATGGGTGTGAGAGAACACGGTTTGAGGAGAAACCTGTAATACAAGGTGTGTTTCTTGTCCTTAGTGGGTATTCTTAGAAACCATGTTGGAAGAACTTTAGTGGATTGGTATATAGATGCTGCCCATGTTTAGCAGCTTATCATTAAACTACCTTTTAAAGGAAAATGAGCCAGTTACTGCTCCAGTGCCTATTAAAATCCTCACTTTATTGTAAGAGGACTCGGAGTATTATAATTAGATACTGTTATAAAGCCATGGATGCCTGTGGATTTCAAGTAGGAGAACAGTCACTGAGAGATGGCATGTACCTGAAGGGTTTCTAGATACATTGTTGACTGACATCAAAGAAGACAATTAGACTAGCAATCACTTTTGAGAATAAAATATTATGTGCATTTATTAAGTACAATCATGACATTATCTCTTGTTATTGTAGTGGTTTTCTTAGTCTTTTGGATAGAAAGTAGAGCTGTTATTTGTTGGCATCCTCTCCTTTAGGTCTCTCTACATCAACCTTGTGGGCCTCTGGGTGATCCTTACCTGCTCCGTGTTCTGTGGGCTCTCCCTGTACTCCAGATACCATGACTGTGATCCCTGGACATCTAAGAAAGTGTCAGAAGTTGACCAGGTTTGGAAACATATCTCTCACACATGTGCACTGATGACATTACAAAACATGCATGGTGCCAGGAAGAAAAGTTCTTGTTCCTGTAGAGACCCAGCAAGTAGGCACAATACAACTAGACACCTTTTACTTCTATAAAACATTCAGCAAAACATTTGTAGTACTTAGAACACCTGTGACGATTTCTGTATCTAAGACTAAATTGTTCACATACCGGGAGAAATTTCAAGCCAGATTTTGGGTAGGAAAAAACCTCAGGGTTGGAGGGGGAAAAAAAGTAAGCTTGGTTAACAGAAACTATACACAAAACACGGTACCATAAGAAGTTTGTGGATATTGTTAGAGTACTCACTTTCAAATAATCTTCCAGTTTTAATAAAATTGTACATTTACCTGTTTTGGTTTTGAGTGTGAGTATTTTGCCTGTATGTGTACCGCATGCTTTCCTGGTACCCCCTGGAGGTCAGATGAGGGAGAAAGATAGCCCTGACTTGGAGTTACTGATGATTGTGAGCTGCCATATAGGTGCTAGGAATAGAATCCGGGTCCTCTGCAAAAACAGCCAGTGCTCCTAACCACTGAGCAATCTCATCAGCCCTCATCGTCCAGTTGTAAATGTAGAAACAGACTAAGAAGGGAACAGAGTTTGCATCCTATGCATCAGGATTCCATGTCAAGAGTCTTAACATGCTTACTTTCAGTTCCACAACACTAATCCCAATTTCATAGAGAACACAATGAATCCCAGTGAGTTGTTTATGTTTTGTTTACGAGATGGGGATCTCACTATGCAGCTCTTACAGTACTGGTTGGCCACTGTCTATGTAGACCAGGTTGGCCTCTGTCTACCTGCCTCTGACCCCAAAGTGCTGGGATTAAAGCAGTGTGCCACTAGGCCAGACTCAGTGAGGGTTTTGACTGGCACCAGGTCATATGTAGAATTGCAGTGAGAGCTCTTTGGTCTTTATAATAGGCCAGACACTTTGGAATATGCTTTATTGAAAGTCTAATTTTTTACTTTTCACAGTTAGAATCTGAAGCAGAGTGTATTATTACTTTCCTTTAAGAAAGCAAGTGAAGAGTTGGATAAGCAGCTGGCCTGGTAGGACCATGCTTCAGACCCAAGCCCAGCCATTAGAGCTCCTGGAAACTCTATATCATGCACTTTCTTGTAAACTTGTTGCACAACTTAAATTTAGCATGTCCTGACTCCAAGAGCCTGGGATCCTACAAAACCTACTTCTTAAAACCTGCTGGGGCCTTGAAATGAGGATGGGCAAATTTCACTGGTACAAATATAACTCCCTCCCAATATGACTGCGGGATTAGGAAATGATAGGATCATTTTAGATTATTTTTAAAATTTATTTTTTGAGAAGTCAAATGAAGCATTTTGATTTAATCTTACATATTTGGATTTACAAAGAATATTTCTCATTCCTTTGGAAGAATATGAAATTGGCTAGGTATTAATTTTGTTTAATAGCAACTAATACTTGGGTTAAATTTTGGAATTTTTCAGCTTATGCCTTACTTGGTACTGGACATTTTGCGAAATTACCCTGGAGTTCCTGGACTTTTTGTGGCCTGTGCTTACAGCGGGACATTAAGGTATAAAACTGTGATTTTATGAAGGTGTTATTCCTGTAAGGATTTATGTTTGTTTGCTGTTATTGTGACTGATGCATGAGAAAAAGACATGCAGGAAGGAATTACTTATTTTAGATCATGATAGAGTCCCCAGTGGTATAATAGCAGTGACTCATTTCATCCAAGCAGGCTCTACCCTTTACCTATCTACCCTCCTCAATAAAGCTATCATGGCACACGCAATGTCATCACGATAAATTCAGGGATGAGTTTCACTAATCCCCCAGGTATTTCCCTATCTAATCAAGTTGACAATCAAGATTAACCATCAGAGTATCTTTATTTTTTTATTGGTTACTTTGAGAGGTAAAGATGAATTCTGGACACAGTCACAAATTGCCTAAAATAGGCAAACTGCTCCATGCATCCTTCTGTTGGTCAGCTCCCTATGGAACCATTCTACTGCCATCATGCTCTACACTTGACTAGGTCCCTGCTCTCAAACACAGCATTGCATACCAAATATGGTCATGGTGATGATGACCACTTGATGGTGGCTTTACTATTTGCTGAGTATTAAACATGAGTGGCTTCTGTCTTGGTAACCTGCAAAACCAGACTCAAATTTCCTAATTTACATGCTGAAGAATACTGTACATCTTCTGGACATTTTCATGCACAAAGACACTATATGTTAAAGTTTTTTATGTGATAATCTGAGTAATATGTGCAAATTCATTTTATAGATACAGAAGAATAACTGGGAAATAGAAGCAATGCAACCTCATCTGCTATCGTTTACTGTCAAATCTATCTGTGTTGCCTGACTCATTCATGAAAGATAATAGCTTCCAGAAAGAGGGTATTATGATCACTAAAAATAAAAAACGTGATTCCATTTAAATTATTTTATTATTTTGTGTACATGGACATTGTGCCTACATATATGTATGTATGTGCACCACATGTGTGCAGTGCTCTCAGAGTTCATAAGAGGGTACCAGATCCCCTGAGACTTGAGTCACAAATGGCTGAGACTCAGCTACTGCAGGTGCTGGAAATCAAACCCCGGTCCTCTGGAAGAGCAACTAGTACTCTTAAACACTGAGCTATCTTTAGCCCCATCTGCTTCTCTTTCAGAAGTGCCAATTTGCTTTCTCCTCCTTCATTTCCACTAAAAGTACTGTTAAAATTAACATATTATAAAACAAAGTTTTTTTTCTCTCTTGTAGCACAGTGTCCTCCAGCATTAATGCCTTAGCTGCGGTGACCGTGGAAGATCTTATCAAACCTTACTTCAAATCACTATCAGAGAAATCTCTATCTTGGATTTCCCAAGGAATGAGTATGTTTCCTCGTTTCTTTCCTCATGATTCCATTTGGGGGAATCTTTGGCTTTGTTTATGAGACACTAGAAATTGTCCCCTGAAGAAGCATAAGCATCTCTAGTATGAGTACATAAACAGGAACATGAGCTTACAATGCGCAGGCATGATTGTATCTACCAAGAAGACTTGGGCACTAATTCAAACATTTAATATGGCAGTGGTGGGGCACAATGGTAACCCTGGCTCTCAGGGTTGAGGCAGAAGGATCGTGAGTTCATGGGTAACTGGGGTTAGTCTAACAAAGAAAAGAAAAACTATCTAATTGTTAGTGAGCCACTGTATGTGTCACCCTGATCATGCCTCCGGGGGCTGGCTATAGGTGTACCTTAGGGGGCATCGACAGGGTGATGTGAGGGTAGTTTAAGAGTTGGGGGACACACGTGGGAAAGCCCCTCTTTTCCCTGCTGCTTCGGCTTGCTCTGCTTTCCTGCCGGTTGGCTAGGTGCTCAGTAAGTAAGGCATATTCCCTAATAAAATACCTTAATCATATTGGTGAGTCACCGTTTATATCCGCCTATAAGCCACAAAGCACAATGCCCAAGGATCCTCTGTGGTTGTCCTTGGTGATAATTACTAATAATAATAGTGATAAGACTCTCATCAAGTTTGAAGCAGGGTTTTTCTTTGCAGCTCAGCCTGGCTTGCCTGAGTGTTGAGATTACAGGTGTTTGACACCACACCAGGTCTGACTTTCATTCATTTTGAAGGATTCTATGCTATCATTACACTGAGGTTTATGTAGTCAAGGGTATCACAGACAACGTGACAGTCGACTTGACTTTGCATTAATTATGGGCACCAAACCCCCTAATGGCAACCATTCATTGCTTATCAAATGGAGAATTAAGTTAAATCACTGAAATATTATTTATATTTAGATTGGGCCTTATAGAAATTATTACAAGAGCCCTTTGTTGGGGGGAGTTGTTTTTTCTTTCAGTTGTGATCAGATAATTTCATAACATTCTTAACAAAAGTATGAGTTCTGGGACAAAGAATCCAGTACCCACAACAGAAGGAATGCACTAATTTTATAAGAAATAGATCATCTGTCATTTTTCTTGTTTTTTTTTTAATTTTGAGCATGGGAAATTATATGGGTTGATTGCCATAAATTTTTTTCCAAATAGATTTTTTAAAAAAAAACAAAATACTTTAGGGAGTAATGTTGTTTTTTTAATTTTTAAAAGCAACACATTTGCTGAAGAGAAAGGAGGAGGAGCAGATTTAGGGGAGAGAGAAGGTGGGAGGGCTGGGGGAGTAGAGGGAGGAGAAACTGTGGTTGGGAGGTAATGTATGAGAGAATGATGATGACGACGACGACGACGACGACGATGATGGTAATGATGATGACAATAAAATCATCAAATAAAACGAAGGTAAAAAGGAAAAAGAAGACCCCTACTATTTACCAGCCAGTAGTATGTTGAGAACTCCTGTAAAGCAGTTTGGAGAAAGGAACATGGAATATGATATGGATTAAAGTGACCTTTCTTTGCTAGCTTACCTGAGAAGGCTTGGGTATTGCTGATGGAGATTATGAGAGGGCTAAAGAACCTAAACCACGGGTTGGTGTGGGTTACCACTTCCCAGAACAGAGGAACAGCATCAGAAGGCTCCAGCCCTGGTGTTTGTTATCCCCTTCCTCCTCCACATTGTCCTGAGCGGAGTCCTGCACCTCCCTTTATAGACAAATGTTTGTGGGGGATTAAATGGATAAACAATGGTGCTAAGTTTTAAAACCCCTGTAGTTAATTCCAGGGACTCTTTCTTATATAATCCATTGTTGTGACTAATCCCCGGGTGCAGTATAAGGCTTTGTTTGTCTTCTTTGCACCTTGTTGGTCTTGTAGAAAAATGCCTCTTTGTCTTGTCTTGCTGACTTTAATGTGTGTGCCTTTCTCACCTCAATGGTATTATTCACTTTGACTCAAAGGTGTGGCATTCCTTTTATTGAGGACTGTAATCCTCCAGGTCTGCATTTGTACACTGTCTTTTATGTTGTCATGTAGGTGTGCTATATGGAGCGCTGTGTATTGGAATGGCTGCTGTGGCATCCCTGATGGGAGCCTTGTTACAGGTAAGAGCTGAGTCTGAAGACTGGTGTCATAATCATTATTATTAGCCTAAATGTTCACAAGACCACCTTTACTCTCTCTCTCTCACTCACCTCACTCTCTCTCTCTCTCTCTCTCTCTCTCTCTCTCTCTATATATATATATATATATATATATATATATAATTTGTATGTATGAATGAGAAATGGCTGAATTATTTTTAAATCTTAAAAATATTTTTTCTTCTTTTACTTACATATATGTGTGTATGCCTGCTTGTCTGTATGTGTACTATGTGTGGACAGGTACCCACAGAGGTCAAAGGGCACCAGGAGCCCTGGAGCTGCTGTTAGACACAGTTTTGTTAGCTGTCTGATGTGGGAACTGGAAACCGAAACTGGGTCCTCTGTGAGGTAGTAAGCACTCTCAATTGCTGAGCCAGCTCTCTAAATCCTTATTTTTAACATTTGAAGAATATGTCTCCAGATAATTATAGATTTATATGAAATTAAAACAATGCAGAGGTATATATCACTCCATAGCAACACCTTACAGAAACATCTGGCAATGGTAACATCTTGATAAGAAGCCATTATAGCCGGGATATTGGGGTTGAAACAGTGAAGATACAGAATGATTTGACCACCACCAGGATTCTCCTCTTGTTACCTTTCACAGCCTCACCTACATCTCTCTGTCCTCACTCACGTCACTCATCTCCGGCCTTTGAGAATCTCAAATCTATTCTCCATTCTTATCACTTTTTCGTGTTAAGAATGTTATAGAAAGAGATCCGTATGACGGCTCAGGTTGCTAAGCCTGATGACTTAGCTTGTTCCCCCAGAGGGTGGAAGGAGAGGACGGCCTCCTGGAGGGTTTCCTCAGATTTCCACACAGGCACTGTAACACACACACACGCACGCACGCACGCACGCACGCACGCACGCACGCACGCACGCACGCACGCAAGGGCGTGTGTTCAATAAAGATGCAACAGCCCTTTATAAAGTACTGTTATATAAAAGTGTTGGGGCAGTGGTTCAGCAGACACTGTGCTTGCAGTGAAAACATGAGAACTTGAGTGTAGGTTCCTAGGACCCACATAGAAAAGCCTGTAACGAAGATGTGAGGATGTAGATCCAGGAGACTTGTTGGCTACCGAATCTAGCTGGATTGGTGAGCTCCAGATTTAGTGAGAAACTTTCTCAGAAATAAGGTGGAGAGCAACTGAAAACGACAGTCCATGTTGGCTTCTGGCCTGCACATGCACTTTCTCATGTGTGTGTGTGTGTGTGTGTGTGTGTGTGTGTGTGTGCGCACCTGCACAAAGCACATGGAATAATAGTATGTAAATGAGATGCACACACAGAAGAATATTATGCATATGAGATCTATTAGTAAGAAATGTTTTAGGTCTTCTCGTTCTTGCTCTTAAGAGTGAATTTTGACTGGAACCTGACCTTTTTCATTAGGAGGTGAACTTTTGGATGTCAGACTTTCTATTTTAGCAGCTGACAGTGTCAGAAGGGTAACTGGCTTCGCTACCACTTTGAGTTTAAAATCCATTTAACAACAGAGTAGCCTGTTGTCGTGTTGGGTGTAGATATGTAGTATGTTATGAGACATATAACAACAATAAGGTTAATGACAGTTGTAGACTCACTCAAGTGTCTTGCAGGGTTGAGCTTATGTGTCAGTTGGTACTCTAGCACACCCTGACCCTAGGGGTTTCTAATCATGGTTCTCAGGACTTCCAGGAGTCAAGGCCATTTCAGCACACATGCTAAATCTTCTAAACCTTAGAACAAAGTTTGCCCTTACCAGGATACCTTCAACTCCCTTTGTGGGAGAAATGGCTGGTAGCAGGCCTACTGATTGCAGGTGTAGAAAAAGGAGGAAACTACCCCCAACTCTGAGGCTTGTGTCTGGATGGTGATGCTTCTAGTCAGTTGGTCTGTCCCAGATTGGGGACACTGGCTGGTGCCTCCAGCAGTTGTGCACAACATTGCCAGGATAAACTGCTCAAGGCATGGCCACTATTTATCCTTGATGCAAATGGAACAGAAAGTGAGAGATTGTCCCTGAGGAAGTTAGTTACTAAGACCATGCCAAATCCCCAGATATGATGACTGAACACTGAATGGCATAAGTAAATGAACAAGAGAATTTTGACACTCATTTCATTTCTTTTCAATTTTACAGAAAGTCTTCAATTTGTTGGTAAAGAATAAACAGAGTAAAAGTTATTTTCTGGTCCATTTTTTTTTAAACCAAGTATATATTTTTTCTTTAAAATTTTTTTCAACAGAAAACCCTTTCCCCAGTTTCTTCTTTGACAATTTCATTCGGATATAATATATATTCTGATTATTGTAACTTTGAATCTCTTTGACTATCCACTCCTCCTTACAAATCTCTCCTCCCACATTCATGACATTTTGTTATTTTGGGTTGTCTTATTAGTGTTGTTGTTACATATTTGAGACTCTGTTTACTGGGTTTGGAACTATGTGCTGATGCCAGGTGGGCTCCTCAGTGAAGACAATAGCTGTCCCTCTTCCTAAACCCATCAGTAACTAGTTCCCAGCAAGAAGGGTCAGGGACTCATAAACTTGTCCAAGATCTGTGACTGTTGATAGGCCCATTTCCACCCACTCAGTTACATTCCCACCAGGTTGTTCTGAGAACACCAAAGACTGCATCAACAGAAATGTGTTTGAGATTTGACAGATTCCCAAGTGTGGGTAACTTGTTACTGATCCTCTTCAGAGTCAAGAGGTCAAGCATGAACCTTACCATGGCTATACGATAAATGATAGCCATAGGCCTGTTCAAGTGACTGTGACTATGAATCACTTAATGTTATAATATAATCCTATCCTGGAGAATTCCAACCTACTCCCAGGGGTTTCCAGCAACCAGGCCATCTCAGCAGATATAACTTTGAGAAACCATAACCAGATTTACTCTTATCAAACAAATTCTCTTTATGAAAGAAAAACAATTAGCAACTAACCTGGATTGAATACTGGTATAAAAAAAAAACATAGAAGGATAGTCCAAAGTTTGAAGATGGTCGCTTGATAGACATTCTTATGATCCGCTGTACAGAGACACTGACTTCTATCTGTCTTTAAGAGGGCAACTAGAATGAACTACATGCTTGAGAGCATGTTTAAGGCATGTCTTTTTTGAACATTGAATTGGGAGAGAAGGGCCTTTTTGTTTTATATTTTTGAGGGCATTAGTTAATTTCAACATCTCCAAACATGCAAAGTGATTTCTGCTGATACCATGGTGAAGGTAGCTGCCTTACTTCTTTGCCTTGGTGACGGCTTGTTTTCTACAAGGTCTCCTATGATGGTGCCCAGCAGGGAGGAGCCTTGGTACAGGTAGCAATGTACAGTCTCAATTCCTCATTGACCTTTACTGGTATGGGTGTGTGAAAATGTTTTCCTCCATCATCTGCACTGTGGCTGGTAGCTACTATTGTGCCTGGCCTCTCTTTCTTCATCAGTACTGGAATATATGGAGAAAAATCAAATAGCAAAATCATCCTAACTTCAAGTCTAAGCCCTAATTCCTTGCTGTATTACTAACTAAGGTCACTAAGGTCTTCTTTTCTTTTTTTTTGTGTGTGTTTGTTTTGTTTTTGTTTTTCAAGACAGGGTTTCTCCGTATAACAGCCCTAGCTGTCCTGGAACTCAGTTTGTAGAACAGGTTGGCCTCGAACTCACAAAGATCACTAGCCTTTGCCTCCCAAGTGCTGGGATTAAAATCATGTGCCATCACACCAGCAAAGTCTTCTTCTTTAATAGAATGTTTTTTTGAGGCATCTTTATTATTTATATAAATGTGGCTCTCAAATCATGTTGTAACTGGCTTCATGGCCATGGAATATCTTTTACACCTCACAGTGAAGTCTATTTCACATCTTATGACTAATTCCCCTATCATATCCCTTAACCCAATCCTTCTCACACACCATTTCTCTTTCACAGTGTCCACACATTCTCCACTTCACAGTGCAAACTTGAAAGAATTCATTGGAACCAACGATCCAGCACATATCTTATAACGTTTTCTGTGTATACTCTCAGATCTATTCATTCTTTTGTGGTTTGCTTCTTGGTGGACAAATCACCGTGTTTCCACTCTTTAATGGTTCTTTTTACATTTTAATTGATACATAAAACTGTATATTTAATATGTGCATGATATCATATTGTATTTTACTACATTCAAATGTGATTAAATATATCTACCTACTCAAATATTCATCATTTTTAGTGATGAAAATATTCAAAATCATTCTAGTAGATTTTTTTGGAGACATGTAATCCATTACCACTCTCTATCATCACTCTACTGAGCATTAGTCCATCAGAACTAATTTCCCTTATAAAATTATAACCTAGTACTCATCAGCCAACCGTTAGCTTTATCCTGCCTAGTCTTCAAAACTAGACATTAAGTTATTGAAGTTATTATGTAATTAAGAGCACACATCTCTTGAAGCATTATTTGCATTTTCTCTTGTTTCATATTAGAAATCTTTTCAGTCTCATTGCTGTAGTATCTCCATATCAAAGAAAAGCTTCAGTCATCCAAATAGATTTTAAACCTTTCTCTGCACCATTGGATCAATTATGTTAAATCCAACTTTCAATCTTATTACATATTTATCAGATCAGACCAGGGATGCTCATAGGTTTTAGCATTATCTCTGGCCAGTTTGCAGTTCTCATCCACAGTCTTGTTTGGAGGAATATTTTGAGACCACCAAAGCATAAGAGTCTTGTGATTTATCAGAACAAAGTTGAGAAGGGGGTGTTTTGGTCTATGCACTTAGAGAAGTGGTCCAAAGGTTTCATGACTCCTTTTCATTGTGATGCCCTTTTTGTGGTGTGTGTGTGTGTGTGTGTGTGTGTGTGTGTGTGTGTGCACATGTGTTGGAGAGGTGTTCTCATGCGTGTGTGTATAAACCAGAAGCTGTCATTGGCTGTCTTCCTCAATTGCTCCTCACCTTATTTTTTGAGACAGGATTTCTCACTGAACCTGGAATTTACCAATTCAGTTATACTGACTGAACAGCAAGCCCCATGGACCCTCCTATCTCTGTCTCCTCAAGACTGGGATTAAAGCCATGTGCTGCCACATCTAGGTTTTGTGTGTGCATCAAACTTAGGTGCTTGTGAAGCATTTTATAGACTGAGCCATCTTCCCAGCTCCTTTTGTTGTCTTTAAAAATCTATTTTAAATTGTGTAAATGTGTGTGTGTCTGGGTCAACATGGTGAGTGTAGGTGCCTGTGGAAGCTAGAAAAGGGCATCCAATCCCTTGGAACTGGAGTTATAGGCAGTTGTGAGCTACCTGATGTAGGTGCTAATTGAATTTAGGTCTTCTGCAAGAAAGATATGTACTCTTAACCACTAAGCCATCTCTCCAGTCCTTTGCTGCCTATTTGAGGGCACCTAAAGAGACAGAAAAGTCAGTTGTGATGGTGCACACCTTTAATCTCAGCACTTGGGAAGTAGAGGCAGGAGGATTTCTGTGAGTTGAAGGCCAGACTTGTCTATATAATGGGCTCTAGGACATCCAGGACTGAGATGATGCTGTCTCAAAAACAAACAAACAAACAAACAAACAAACAAACAAACACCCAAAGGAACAGAAGACACTTAAGATAGAGAAACAGAAGTTTCCAGGTATTAATGATCTTTGCCAATGACAAGGCTGCCATGAATAAATTTATAATTTTTTTCTTGGAGGAGACTGAATACTTCAATACCTACCCTGATGAAATTGCTTAAAACATTATGTTTGTGTTTGAGATTTCTAACTGTTGATTTTATGTTATTTTTGTAGGCAGCCCTCAGCATATTTGGCATGGTTGGTGGTCCACTTCTGGGCCTGTTTTCTTTGGGCATCTTAGTCCCCTTTGCCAATTCAATTGTAAGTATAACTAATGGATATATCTAAAGATTACTTTTCCAGATACATTTTTTTCTTGTCAGCTGTAAAGACATTGTTGCTTTGAGATCTGTCATTAGTTATTTGTCTTGGTGACTAAAATTGTTGATTTTGACTTTGATAGAGTACACAGTTAAGAGCTATGCATTAAAGTCTTTCATGAGAGAAGCTAAGTGGAAACTGGCAGAACCATGTGGTGTTAAATACTCATCATGACAATAGACCAACATTTTTTGCACATTTAAAATCTTGTCCTCTTTAAAATTGAATATCAAGGCTTTAAGTAAGGAGATCAAAAGTCTTAGCTCCAAAGATGGCTTGTAGTCAGAGCCCAGTAAAGAAAGGTAATTAGATCTTTACTGCCTTGACCACAGAGTTTGTTCTTCTGGTGCTTCAAGCCATAGCTCCTGCATGTCATTCTAGCCCTGAGGAGGTGAAGATAATTGGGAATGTTTTTCAGAAAGAGGTGATATCTCTGCTATCATATCTAAACATGACTGTGTATGGCAATACAAAATTGTGTTTGGAATAAATGAAATCGAAATGACTTCTCTGAAAACTAACAGGAAGTCCACTTCTACTATAACAGGAAGTTCTTAATAGACTAGAATGTAGTAAGTGATGTCAGACATTTATAGCATAGCCATTGGTTAGAAAAAGAGGGAATGGGGTTAGTGGGTCTCCAGGACTCTGGGCAGAAGACCAGGGATCTATGGTAACCTTGACAAGAGGCAGAGATACTGTAAGGGAGGAGAGTCCGATAGGGGCTGGCCAGCTTGGCTTTGAACATTTTGGAAGTGACTTTCTCATGATAAATATACCTCAAAGAGAATGACATTATTTTTCCTTTAAAAGCACTCTTGTTTTTCAGGGAGCACTTGCTGGTCTGTTGGCTGGATTTGCCATTTCTTTATGGGTAGGAATTGGAGCTCAGCTTTACCCTCCACTTCCTGAGAGAACTTTGCCATTGTCCCTGGAAATCCATGGCTGCAACAGCACACGCAATGGGTCAGACTGGATGTCAACTACAGAAATGCCATTTTCCACTAGTGCTTTTCAGATACACAATGTGGAAAGGTATTAAGTTTCACATTTTGTCTTCATACTATGTGTGACAAGTAGGGGACTCCAGTTGTTTTGTTTTCATTTGTTTGTTTGTTTTTTTTTTGTCTTGCTTATAACACTGCTTTTCCTAACCCTGAACTGGGTGGACCCTTGTGGCTTTCTTGCTGTGTTATTTTATAGTACTCCTACAGTATAAGGACACAGCTGAAGAATCAGCGAGACATCCTGTGTTGCCTAGCCTGGTTTACAAGCTTTCCCGATTGAGTTTGCATTCCTTTAACTTCCTAATAGTTGATGAGCATATCTTGGTGCTTAATTCTCTTATAATTAATGAAGTTGACCACCCTTTAATAAGTTTATTGGGCATTCAGATATCTACTTTTGTCACTTGCCTTTTGAGTACTATTCCAAGAGTCAACAGATTCTGCCTTTTCTTCCTTGTTTATTTAGGAGTTGTTCTTTATTCAAAATATGTTTTGAAGATATTTTTCCTCAATACGTTTCATTTTTACGTTTTGCTAAGTTTATTTTTTTTTTGTAAGAAATCATGACTTACCTTTTGTTATTTATTTATTAGTCTTTTGTGGTCTTGTTGAAGAAATCATTGCCTACTTTGAGGTCATATGAATACTCTTCTAATTTATTTATTTAGTTTTTGTTTGCTTATTTTCTCAAGACAGTTTCTTTGTGTAGCCCTGGATGTCCTGGTACTCACTCTGTAGACTAGGCTGGCCTTGAACTCAGAGATCCACCTGCTTCTGCCTCTAGAGAGCTAGGACTAAAGAATGTGCATCATCATGTGTGGCTAGTGCTCTAATTTTTAAATTAAAACTTTTATTGTTAACTATTCACATTTAAGAAATGTAATCCACTTGAGGCTGAACTGAATGGTATGATAAAGATTAATTTTTCCTCATGTGGAATTTTAATTAATTAAGCACCTCTTATTGAAAGAAAAATCCCCCTGTTGTCCATCAAGATTTGCTGGTGATAAAACAATGTAAATCAAATGACAGTTTCCTGAAGGGGGAGGGGGTCAGCATTCTACTCTACTTTTTCCTGTCTTTGCTCAATATCACACTATCTCAACTTTATTAGTTCATCTCAGCCTGTTTCCCTTCTTCTTGGGTTTTTGGCTTCTGAAATTCTCATTTCCTTGATCTTTCCGGTGCCTTCAAAACCTATTTCCACTTAGTGTTCTTTTTTTTTTTTAAATTCAAGTTAGGGAACAGGCTTGTTTTACATGTAAGTCCCTTCTCCCTCTCCCTCCCCTCACCCCCCTCCCCCCCCCCCCCCCCTCCACCCCACCCCC